ACGGATTTCACTATTAAGTCAAATAGAAACATTACCCAGTATCTTAGCAATCTGTCGAAAACCTTTGTGATCAAGAAGATACAATTATCACTTTCCATTTAGCAAATCCAGATAAACCAAAACTGCTTGTTTGGGTAGGCTTTAAAAGATCTACTACTTCTGATCTCCTGCTAGTACTTATATTAAGCGCACCCCCGAATTGAGGTCAAGGTAGATCTAAAAAATTCTGGTAATTGATTACTATTTCCAAAAAAGTTTATTTTAATCTAATAATAGAAATTAGAGTATTTTAGTATTATTTTGTTTTCTAAAAGGTTAATTGGTATTGCAATTGTGAACTGATTGCCTTGAGTGGGGGGTATTATTACAGCGCCAATTATATAATCTATAGTTGCCTTCGTGCTTCAGGTACAACATACTAGCACGCCCTACTTCCTATAAGTAGGGCTTCACTCTTCCATAGCTCTTCTACCCTTATGGTACAATATAAGTCTTTACCCGTACCTTGACAAATCTTGATATTGAATACTTCAATGAGTATACAATCAGAGCTTCACTAGTACAAATGAGTACTATGTAGCTCCCCTACATTTCAAGATCATGATAGGAATTTTACTTCAAATCTTCCAATGTAACTCAGAATGTATCAGGCTTCTAGGAAACATTTAAAGTCTTCCTTTCTAGCATTGTATAACCCATTAACTTATATCGAATCTCAGGAATCGTCTATAGTAGATATTGAACTTCGTGAGGAAACAATGATGCAAATATATCAGTCAATATATCTCTTCGACTTGCGAGGAGAGAGCTCAATTCTAATTCTACATCTTCCTCTTCCTAATGATTTGGATTATCGGGGAGTGAGCGGGCGCAACGTGGAATTGTGTTGTCTCGTATGAACTGTTATGTAACCTTATACATGATGATAATAAGAAACAAGAGATGCACTTCGATCAGAAAATAAATTCCCCCTTCCATCGCATATACAATAAACAAACAAACTGATCAGAAAACAATGAGTTCTTCCAACTTATAAACCTCGGAATAACATTCATCTATCCACATCCCAGAAGTGAAAGGAAACCCCCTAACCCCCCTTTAACCTCCCATCTTGAATAATCCTCATACCACTCTCTCATATCTCTCAACACACCAAGCAGAAAACGAAAACAAAAACAGAAACGAAAAAAAACACCTCCCTCATCATACAGTCCCAGCCCAATCACCTCTCCTTTTCCATTCTTCCAAACCACAAGACAAGCCCTCAATCTACCTCACAGTTCTTGCCAATATATATTAACACCCACCCCCCCCCCCCCCCCCCCCCCCCGAAATGATCTCTCCATCTCTCCCTCCCCCTGAAAACTCTCTTCACAAAACCATAAGAACCCATCTTATAAACACCCATTCACCCTTTCCCTTTAATCCAACTCAATACACACCTTAAAAACATTATAAGTAACACAAGTAATATAAGTAACATAAAATAACAAAACAAAACAAAACACAACAAAGAATAACTTCACCCTACCTACCTACAAACAACACGAAATCGATTCAAGATACTCTTCTCCACATAAGATTACCGCACCAATATCATCATCAAGAGCCCACCCCCAACTAACAACAGCACCCCCCCCGTAAATGCATTCCAGCATTCTAAGAAAGATCGCTCATAACTCAAATCACTAATATATCACTACCAAAACGCAAAAAAAGCACATAGCACCAAACACTTAATCAAGAAATCTATTCATGTAACTGAAAAGAACATACAATACCACGAATCCCATCTCTGGAATCTCCAGCTCATTTTAGAGAAAAATAAAAATAAAAATCACCCCCTTTCGCCTGGTATATCCTACCTAATTCCCGTAAACGTTCCATCAAATTTAAATCATCGAGTCCCCAATTATCCGAAAATGCTCATTCCAAAACCTATATGAATCATTTTATGATGAATGTACCACCACGAAACTTATCTCCTTTACCCGTTTCGCCTATTCCCCAAGCCAGCTCAGATTCCCGTATCCAATGCCCATGCAGCCAAGTTCTTATAGTAATTCAAAACCCCCTCATTCAGCAATCTCGGCCCCGGCATTGGAAAGTGATCAGATGGTCTTAATCGTGTACCATTTGCTACTATCGCTGCACTACCATCATAAAGTTCTGGATGCCGTTCAAAAAATGCCGAATCTAATTTGTACTGTGCCACGCCTTGATTCATTCCCAGAGCTACAAAAGTTGAGAGTGCCAATTGCTTGGAGTTGAACAGAGCCGCGACATTCGGTGCTGGCAGTGTTGCAAGCGGTTCCATAGTGAGACCCTGCAAGACATTTCCCCCTCGCATTTGCTTGTTGAGTTCGAAGCTAGCTCTACAAATCTCGTCCCATGAAACATTATCTTCGCTTGAGAATGCTGATTCTTTTGTTCCTCCTGACATTGATCGAACCAAATCCCAGACGCCGATGTTACCCGTTGCAGCACTAGTTCCCATCACCAGCTTAGACACGTCGGCTTCCACTACATAACTATTTCCAATTTCACAAATAATTTGATCCAGAGATGGATTAGCTGAGTGGCAAAGGATAAGTTTGTCTCGTAACGATGGGAATGGTACCCAATCTATTATTGCTGGATGGGGAATGGACATTTGTATTTTCGTCGGGAGCCATGCTCCGTTGGTGACAAGGTCAGCGTATGTAGCAGCTGTTGGATTGACATGATATGCGATGACCTTAGTAATAGGTACATGAGCTTTAGTAGCACAATGCCAGGTTGTCATAATAGGCCATGATGCACAAATGAAAGTCGATAGCATGATATATGCTGAATTCAAAATGCTGGTAATAATAAGCTCAGGTCGTATTAAATCGAGATCTTCTAAAGAATAATGTTCAAATGGGAGAGGAGCGCACCTTTCATTACTTCGAATCAGTGCTGTTGATTTGCTCAATCTTTGCCTCAAGACATTCTCGAACACGGTAATGTGATCTGAAAAGGCTGAATTTGTATGGTTGACCTGTAGAGGTTGGTCTTGAGTAATCAGAGAATCATTTCCAAGATAACTATTATACTGAACTGTTCCCATCATTTGTTCATATGAGCTAGAGATAGTCAAATGTGTTGGGTTGTAGATTTCACGTGCAGAAAAATGCGGCAAATCATTTGAAGCCAATCGTGGCAAACTGCTAGTGACCAGTGTCCCATTTTCGATATTGCCTTTGTCGTGAAGGTTTGATTGGGGTGCTCGCGGTTTCGGGGAGAGACGGAGAGTTTGTACATTTTGTGATGGGACATTCGCGGCGGGTATATCGGAGAAATCGTAAAAGTTAGAGCTCAATGATGGTTCATTATCAGGAGTCCATTCACTTTGTCTATTTTGTTCATTCTTGCCTTTATCTTGCGCAGGTGGTCCTTCGGGTTCGGCATCGTCACTATCATCGTTGGTGTGAGTTGTAGGTTCGATATCCAAGGGGGTTTTCTGTTGAAATACGTGTTAGTTACTTTGGTCATCATAATCAAGAAGTTTCCACAGGAAATGTATATGTGGACGCGTTGAGGAGTGTGTTTGACTCAACTAGGTGAACCTACCTCGATTCCCAAAGCATATGCTACAGAATCCGCGAGAGCCTTTAATGTCACTTGAAAACTCTCTAGTTTCTTGTGACAATCGAGTAATTGACCACGCAGTATACTGTTTGTCTCTTCCAGCTTGGCATTCTGATCTGATTCGGGCTTTGAGGCCCATTCAAGCTTTTTCTCCAGATCTTTGATATACAACGATTGTCGAGCTCGAAAGGCTTTCTGCGAAAGACGGTTTCGTAATTTCCTGATTCCAATTAGTTGTTAGTCAGTTGAGAGTCAGTTATGATAGCAATGTCCATGGTAGTGAGAGGAGACTGAAGGTTGATGGTTGATGGTTGGAAACAGAGTATGGGGGGAGGTTGAAATTGGGACAGTTGATGAAGGGGCTTGCTGCCAGGGCGGACCTTACCTATTTTCCGATGCCGCATTATTGACAGGTTCTACCCGAGCCTTCTTCGATGAAACTGCTGGTGCACAATGTTCAACCATGATATCGGGTGTACAGAATAATAAGGATAACAAGGCTTGAATTGATGTTGGACTTCCATCAATTTACTGCGATCGTATGGATCGTATACCGTGGGGTATCCGAGTCTCTAACATGGAGTATGGAGTACAGTAGGTCGGTTGCATTCAACACCTGCAAGCTTTTAGTTTATGGATTGTGGATGGTGCAATGGATCGAATGAATCGAGTGACATGCGAAGAAAATTTGGGGCAACAGTGCAACGACACCACCTTGATTCAATCGCAGATGGAGATATGGCTAGTAGGGATGTTTTTGACATTTGCCGGTTTAGTGACCGCAAGTCAAAGATAGGCTTGCTCGAGCTGAAGACAATTCTGTGCACAGCAAAATCAAACACCTTTTGGGAAATTCAATTGTTAATCCATTGGCTAATTTTCATCTATTTTTGTTCAGACAGATTTATCCAAAAGCTTATGGTTTCATTGTCCAATGCTTGATATATCCCAAGAAACTCGTGACATTTATGTTATATATATAAATGTTTTCAACGGGCTGGTCGGCATGCACAGAATTCCCGTTTCAGCTCAAGCCTTGTCACTTCGCCCCACGTCAGATTCATTCCCGATTATAACCACTCTTCAGGGGCTATACCACATTAGTTTCGGTAGTTTCTAGCACAGTTGATGGTGCGGATGGGAAAACCGTCGTGTCGTTACTAGGCTCGATGTACATTCTCTAGTAGGACGCCTTCGAAGCTAACGATAAGGAAAGCTTGTTCATGAAAGAGCTAAGTAGAGTAAAGTACGCTACGAATGTGTCCAATGCGCGTTATGCGCGTCGTGCGTATCAGCCGTGATAAGATACAAGACCAGGGCGGAATTAAGCACAAGATGGATTATTTTTCAACAAGGTGACAGGAAGTGTTTGAAATCTCAGAGATTCAAAGCTCATCTTTGAGAGACTCTATTCTGTATACTATCTATCTGGTTCTCGAGTGTACAGTCATTCCAAGCTATAATACAAAACATGTATCCAAAAATCAAATGGGTATCCGCTTGAAGTAAAAAGCCAACTATCAGATTGAGGATTCGCTAATTAAATGAACCGAGTGCTACGTACTTTGACGTAGGGAAGATTCCGGCGGAGGGAAGAAGCGTTGAGTGGATGGTTCTAGTAGCGAATCGCAAGTTGTACACATCCTTCTTCGATGACATTCCTTGTTATTCGTGTCGGGTGATGAGTGAAAGCTATCTGCCAAACTCGTGTCGGTAGTCCACTGCTGCTTTTTACCGTGAATCCGTACTAGCTTTGTTCTTCTCAAATTCAATGTCATTAGAATCGCTCAGGTCAGCAGAACCAAAGTCCCGCTGCGATGTATAATCAGGGGGTACTTGAATAGCATGAATGTCATCACTTCCAGCAATGATATGTTCCTGACTCGAAGAATCTGTCATTAGTTCCTTAGTTTTAACATCGACATTGTTTCTTTTGCCCGACATGGGCCAATTTTCAGTATGTCCGAGTTCAATATACTGACGACCACTAACTCCTCTCTGCCCATCTTTATTACCAATAGTAGATGTAATATTTCCCCCATCGAATTGGTGGTTGGAATGATGTACGCGGCTAGCTCCACATGGTTTACCGTTCGTGCCGGTTTCAATGAGTGAAGATGTATCGATCCAGTTCGATCGATTGAATAGCGGTTTAATTCCAGGGGCCGTGGCTGTAACGATCGATATGAAAGACTCGCGAAATGCCCAAGAGACAACACTTCCTAGATCTCCAACACCACTGAGAGCATAATATACCCGTAAGATAACTATGGCTGTAACAAGGATACCAGAGCAGAAAAGAACTCCGAGTATCAGCTTCCGGTAGAGAGGTATGCGTGCCGCAAACAATAATGGGAGGGGAATGGCCATGACTCCTATGTATGATCTGAATTTGGATCTTAGTAAATACAAATCTTCCTGAAAGACTTAGAATCACTTACAAGATATTGAGAACTCCAACGAGTGCTTGATTAGCCCTGCGAAGAACGCAATGGTCTAAACGGTCATCAGTAACAATACATTTCCTAAAGGATTTGTGGAGTATCTACCGCCAGGATACGGATTGACTTGCCAATTTCTGTCAATTGGGACGCATACCGCAAAGTGAGCAATCATACAGGCAGTCCATGAGACGATACAAAATCCGCCCACGAATTTTATCATCTTATGTTGCTGTAAGCCGAGTCTGCAAGTCCATTGAGTTAGAATACCTGGACCTCGATGGATCCCCAAGATGCACGTACGTGAGCCGGTGATAAAGTGAAAGAAGTATTGCCTTCAACGTCCAAGTGAGAGTGATGAAGCATATCCAAGCAAGAAACAAGCACTTGGCTCCGATGCTGAAATCATGAGCCTGCTGCGCGGTAACCAATGGGGCAGTTTCCGCTGTAAGGCCGGCGGTGCTGCCAAGTCTGCCTGTAGCGAGAGTTAGGTTAAGCAATACACATACATGGTAGGAATACTCGGGCCTCACCAACTGTATAAACAAAGGCAGCATCAAACGAAAATATTATCTGCAATTAATTAGCGAGAGAAACACCACAGTAGCGACGTGCATATGGTGGGTGACTTTACCATCCCAATAAAGCAGAAGAGGTCATCGAGAGCAAACTTCTCGAAGCCAACATGCTTCCATCGTGCGAAGAATCGGAGCAGAAATGCGGACATTCCGATGACATATTCTATCCATATTTCTAATTCGAAGTTGTCGGGCATCATATCGGAATGGATTCTTCATGGGACCAAGAAAAATAAATATATTGCCCGAGTAGCTTCTTCAATGGCAGCAAGTGGGAAGAAAAGTTATCCAGACTGAAAATGAGCGAATCCCCAGATGGCATTAAGTTTGAATCAGATCTGATTCCAGGGTCTCTTAATCTCATCGGTATCATAACAGATACGAAGAAATGCCTAATTATCGGGTAGTTGCCGTAGCTTCTGCAGGATCCATTGATGTTTTGAACGGCTTCAATCATGCCGTTTGAAGAGTGGATATCTGGTCGGAACCAATCTTGATAGCCGACGCAGTCAGGAGAAGGAGACTTTATCATCATTCTAGCTCATTTGACCTCGATAAATCTTCCTCTTGTCAGTCTCTGTTTTTGTAGTAGCGTGCCCTTGTACTAATTGCAACCAAGACTCGATGGAATCTCTGCATCTCCTCTTGGGACCACTCCAGCATGATCCCAATGCTGTTCCTGTCCACACTGCATATACTTTTTCATGACGCATGTTATCACTTCAACTGGGGATCGCTTGGTCATGCCTCATCTACTAAAAGCAGTTAGGGGATGTAATTTTCGAAGCAGTGCTGATCTCTATCGTTAAAATGGAGCCCAAAAAAACTTTATTTTTTCAATTTCCATGCACGTTCCCACCACCAACCAATACGAGGCCAGAACAGTAATCAAACGTTCGCGCGAATGAAGCTACACATGTGTATTTTCATTCCGGATACATCATTACGCGAGTATGTCTCAAACTCTCTTATATTTTCTTCTTGAAATTTCCATTCGGATATGTTACTCATTCCGAGTTTGGATGGCAGAAAAAAAGCTTCACGCCAAAAGCTTCCATGAAAATTTATAACGGGTACTTGTTAATGAAATCCGAAAGTTTGGTTTGGAATCCGGTTTGGGCACCAGTAGTATGTATACATAGAACAAAAATAGACCCAATCTCGAATAACGTAGAATACAATTAATCCACCAGGAGATAAATGTCAGTGACATTTATCCGTCTCCATAGATTTGGGTAAGTTACCTTAAATAGCACATCACGAAGTCGATTATAAAGCTTCATCGTCCACCCGGAGAACGACCATGAACCACCAAACTTTCTCTGAGAACAGTAATCAATAATACCTCGTGTACAAAAATCACGCACCCAAAACCAAAGTTTCCCAGTCGTAGCCTCATGATACGGAAGGAGTCGAACTAAACATACTTTTCCTCCTTGGCCTCAGTTCTGGATTAAGAGCTATCTCCACACCATAATATCCCGCCTCTTCCGTCAACCCTAAATTAACCAACAAGATGACCAGTCCTAAGTCGTCCACATCGTCGTTTACATGATTAAGCAAAAACGCATGGAAGATGTTTTTTTCCTCATCCGATGCACTAGCTGTCTGGCGCGCAATTTCGACTAAACGACAACAGATATTAAGCCATCGTTCTATTCTTTGCGGAACCGTGGTCGCTTCGTGTTGTCGAAACTCAATCGTGTGTTTAAAGGGGTCTGGATATGGTTCATTGAGAAATTGAATATTATAACCCAACCGAACATCTTCGTCCGACGTGAACATTTTGACAATGTCCGCCTTAGACTTAGCATTGAATATCGCTGCTAACGAGTCCTTTTCTGGACAGACGGGTGGGAGAATCAAGGGTAATCTTGTTCGTAATTTGAGGAGCGCCCTGTTATTTCTCCAATTCTTATCACTACAGCTGAAGTTTGTCCCTGGTGCAAAATTCTGTTGATGTTCGCATGATCACGAAGTGGAAATGTATGTTTATTTCGAATTCGATGCGGAGGATGACACAGCTCGAGCTGTCGTTCGAAAGTGAAGATTAGAGCCATCAGATTCTTCAAACATCAAGACTGAAGTCTTTCTTTGCAGTGCTGACATGAACGTGCAGACCACATGATTGATTGCAGTTCAGCCGGTATTTGCGTGTCAAGATGGAGAGAATGTCCCAGATGTGACGAATATTCCATGGGCTAAACATGAGTGCCGGTGTACATATTTCGACTTTGTACCATTTGTAAGTATCGATAAGGGTGGTTGGAAATTGAATGGTGTCATCGTGCTTGACTATCCATAATATGTCACTCGGGCATGGTTCCTTATCTAAATTGCCGTTCTCCCAAGCTTTCCAATCTCGTTCTAGCTGGATTTGAGACGCAGCTCGAAACCCGTTGACTTTTAGCGTATTCGCGATGTGCAATTGAACATTGAGTAGACGATCGATATCTGAAAGTGTGTTGGGATTTGTTCCGGGAGAATCGATAGGAACGTCGATTGAATGTATCTCACGACCTTCATTCGGCTCCGGATCTTTAGTCCCTAATGGGACAGTTGCAAGGGCGAATTCAAATTCAATTCCAAACCCAACACGTTCATCCCATGGGACCTCCTTCAGTTCAAAGTTTAACATGTGTGTAGTTGGCGCATTCTCTTCTTCAGATAGCATTCTTTTCTTCAGATAATATATCTTCTGCCTGTGGGACATTTTTTAGGTGAATTCTGTCCAGCGAGGTACACCCTCTTTGTTTCTAGAAACTATTTGAGGTTTCTCGATCGAGACTGCAAAAGGCCGAAAGAAATTGGCGTTAAGTTGAAAGACAAAGAACATTTACATGCTTTAAACCCACCAATAAAATGAGATTGAGGTGAGAGATAATCAGTGATGGAGAACGAAAGCACTAGCTGCGACTTTTGAACGAGAGAAACACAATTCTTTTGAACGGAATAGAAAAACTCAGCAGTACAGACACTGGATTAAACGCATCAGGTGGCATAATTCATTCTATAGCATTACCATGTTCTGCCTCCTGTACTAGGTGGTGGTGGTCTTCGATCTTCCACCTCTCCAATTCTTCTTTCAGGTAGTACATCCTTTGCTCTCCTTATCCTATCGCTCACTACACCTTCTTCAGCCTCCCACCGGCCGGTTGTCTCTAGTTTTCCTCCAAATCCTAACCATCCTCCCTTGGCATTCTCTCCGTTACCCTTTTTCAACTTCTCATCTTCTGCTAGGTTTCTGACCATCTTTTGCCAGTTGCCCAATCCAACTTCTAGACAGGACTTACAGACTTTCTTCGACTCCTTATCTAAAGCCCTTCTCTTCCTTAATTCTACTTCCGATATATCAACCGCTTCCCTTGTCCAAGCTAGGCCATCTTCTTTGTTTTTAATGTCAGCATTAGAGGTGTAGAGAATCTCTCCAATATATGTCATAAGAATTGCTTCTTCGCATAGTTCTTTAGGATTGCGCAAAGGCGAGGATGTTCCATCAGATGGAGCAGGTGGGTATGCGGGTGGTGAAAGGGTTTCTCTGAGGAATTTCCATACTGTCTTCCACATTGGTGGTTCCTCATCACCTACGGTGAGAGTGTCAATCATATGTTGCTGCGGGGCTGGAAGGCTTTTCCTCGCCCTAAGGATTGAAAGAAAGATTGGAAGTGATTTTGAGATGTTAGAATGTGTCGCATGATGAATCGCAAGTGCTGTGCTTGTATTCAATAGATTTTCAGATGGCGGGCCTGCATCAATATTCAATGTGTGAGTGTTGGGATCGATCGACGAAGACGATGGGTCGAAAGATGTCGAAATGTCTATTGCCCATTTGTACATCTCCATAGCCGCTTCTGGGGTTTTCTTGAAATCCAACCAAGCAGCATATGCCAAGGCTGCATCTACCCTCTGCTTTTCTGTAAACCCTTTAGTGGTAAGAATGCGCATGTAGAACTTTTCCGGTGGATCGTAGGCCTTTTCGCAGTTTTCTTCTTTCGGAGGAGGAGGAGAACCGACTTTGATTGGTTTTGGTTTGGGATTCGATGGACCGCGCATTTGATTTTTCGGGAACCATATATCTCTCGTCGTGTCATTGACCCAATCATCCAGATGTTCTGCTGTGTTCGCCGCTCCCATTAATACGCCGTAGTATCCTCTTCTCCATTCCTCTGATTTCTTGGTAATATCATAACCAGCTTTACCTACCCCGGCAACCAAGATCCCTCCCTCATCTTGTTCCTCTATATCCTTTCCATCAAGTTTCGGATCCTCTAATCTCTGTAAAAGCTCTCTATATCCAATTCCCAAATTCTGCCAGTTGACTGGAATCAATCTTTCGAGTCCTTCCTCCCCTTCCTCATTATCCATAGTCATCCTATAAATGACCCTCGTCCTCCATCTCCATTCTCCGGGACTTGGGAATTGGTGATTGAGCCATTCTTGATGGATCCCCCATGCCACAAATAAGAACAAATTCACACCAACATAAATGAAGATTATATATTTTCCAGCTTTGATGAACTCGGATTTAAGCCAATTTTTCGTTTCCGTAGAAATGTATCGAACGACAGCAGGTTTGCGATGGGTAGAAGAAAGGTAAGGAAATTGAGGACGAGGGGTTGGACGGCGAAAGGTTGTATGAGTGAGAGATTGTGAGAAGCCTGGTTTAAGACTTTGAGTAAAGAATCTTGGCGATGAAGTATTGGGTGGGCGGAAAGGTCGAAGAAGTGGTATTCTGCGTATTGGAAATCGTGGACGCATTTTGAATCAAAGTGTATCACTTGAATCATGAAGCTGTTAAATGTTTGGAAATATTGAATTTCAGGCTTCGGTCGCAAGTTTTTCCAGCCGGTTTGAGGCCTTACTGCATAGCATCGACTCCAAACGGCAATGAAATAAGCTACCAAAAGATAAAGAAATCGAAAAATTTATATTAATTGTACATTCATGTTCTGAATTGTGTTTATTCACTTGTTTAATAGTAATTACTCATATAAGAAACTCCACACACCAACAATGGTTCATATACTCAATTCTAATATTCCATAGCATAGCAAAGCACTCCCTACAATGCTGCTTGCTCTATCACACAAAGCCCGGGGGGGTCCCTTATATCAAAGATTCATTACAGGTGCATTTGAATATTTTTATAGATATCATGTAGTCACGGGATGATCATATTGTAATCTTTGATCATTGATATATGCAAGTCGTTGCTTTTCCTAGTACATCTGATGGCTTTTTGCTGTAATTTTCCTCTTGACTTCAATGGCTTCAAACCATACCATCGAAATAATCGTCTTAAAACAAGTCATCACCATCCTTTCGAATCATTCCACTGTCTTCTTTTGCAGTTGATGCAACGGGCCTTTTTGCTATACCGTTCCGTTGTCGCCCAGCATCCAGTCGGATACGTCAAGAGAAGTAGGAAACCATTGGTCTACTCAGTAGCTCCTGTATCAATGCATCAAAAAGACCTTATAAATCAACCCGCTTGTCAACCTCCCCATTCTCAATCTTCAGCTCAACTCCATCCTGTCTTTCTTCATCACCGAACCCCTCATCCCCAAAGCCCATGTCTTCGCAGTCTTCTTCTCCATCATCCATTCTCACAAAGGTTGGATTTACATACTCTCCACCTTGACTGTCCCAGTCCGCAACCTCTTGAAAGAAGTCAATCACCGTACGATAACCTTTTGGCAAAAGACATTCGGTATAATAAGGTTCACTCAGACTGAACACCGGAGATCCAAATGCTATGATACGTCGAGTGCCATCAGGGCCTGCGAGGTAGGTACCTGCCGGCTCAGGAGAGTTTAAGTAGACACGACCACGGGCTAGCATCCATTCGAGAAGAAGAGGATTCCTGTAATCAATGGATTGCCACCATGTAGCTAAAGCTGCGAAAGCTTGCATGCGGGATCCCCACTTCTTCCAATTTTCCAGGTTGTCCAAGAAACGAGTTACACCCATGGCACCCTCAGAAACCCCAATTACATCGATCTTGGCCACCTTTGGCATAAGTTCATCGATGACATGGTTGAAAATGTAATCGATATGTTCATCTGTATTACGATTCCCAGGGACTGTATTTTTGATGGCATCAAGGCGGGTGGTTTTTTCGACACAACTAGATTGAGGTAATGCAGACCAAGTCATCAAGGTGACGGGCTTTCGGCCGCGACGGTACCAATAAATTTGACCCATATTGGCGAGAATGATGGCTGGTGGCTCGGATTCACCTGAAGCTGCGCCCTTTTCTTGGATATACTTGACCATGTTGACGGCAGAGCCAGTATCGATTCCCCCTGCCCCACCCAAGACACGATGAGCCAAAACTCCAATATCATCCTTAGGTTCGTAGAATAGAACGATTACTCGAGTGGCAGTGGAGAGATTGGAAGATGTTAGAATGTGAACATGTGGAGAAGTTTCCGGAACATTTAGAGGAAGAAGGATCTTTTGGAGGCCAAGGCTGAGAAGACGATCCATTACTATATCACGGATGGCATCTGGATTTCATATTAGCCTCAGTGAAATACTGTAGGTAAATGGAACTGACGATTCATAGCTTCACGTTGCAATTGATTGTATCGATCATTTTTGGTAAGGAAGTACTTGAAGTAAGCCTTTGGATTCTCGATAGATCGGATTTCATCTTTCTCGTTGATGAAGTATCTAGGTACAAGTTAGAGATCTTCGAGACCGTTAAAAGATGGGTATAAATATGAGAGATGTATATATACCCAAGCCCATCAAGAGTAGGTTCAAATTTAGGGTCTTTTGGAAGACCTGAGGGTAGTCGACGAAACATCTTGGTGTATCTTGCAGTGTAGTTTGATTGGGTTTCGTTGAAAGTTATGGTAAACAATTTGAGTTGCGTTGACTTATGGAGATGATTTTCAGAAGTTGAGAAGATGGTAAAAGTCACGAGAAGATGGGTCGTGAAAGAAACCCAATTTAGTGAATGAATGGACCAAAACTTAATTGTAAAGGGGGAAAAAAAGAAATGAAAGTGAATTTTTATATCGCAAAGTATTTGAGAAATATACCTGGTAGGTAATAAAGTGTTCAACTTTGAAGTTTGGTGAGGATCTGAAGTTTGTGTGTTTGGGTGGTGCTTTGTTTGTGTTTGTGATGGAAGAGGGTTGCATTCAGGACGGAAGAAGTGAAAGTTTTCTGCAAGGCTACCAAGTACAGATGAGAATAAATGCTTAATTCGGGAAATTGCAGGTCGAGTGATGATATCAGCAGCGATACGTTTTCTCACGGCAACTACCCATTAGAAATATCGACCTTCGCCCTCTACATGGATGTGTAGATATTTTACATCTTATGTGAATGTAGGTTGAGATTCGTGTGTTGCTACAACCTGACCCAGGTATGATCTTTGCACGACTCTAATATTTGGCAAACAGAATTCCATTCAGAGATGCGCAGAATTCCCATTGCTATATTATGACTTCCAAATAGAACAAGTCGAAGAGTTCTGTTCTTCTTTCATTTTATCCACTTCACCATCTCTGGATTTGCGTGCGGTACCAGTGTAAATCTCATCTTCATGCCCATATATGTTACATTTCAAACGCCGGAGTACTTCTGCAATCGTACATTCGTAATTGGGCTCGTAGCTTTCAGGTTCTTTGACGCTTACTCGCAGGTCCGTATATCTTTTGTCCTTCACCCTCCATTCATTCGGTCAAAGTATACATTCTTTACCAACTCGCTTTCTTAACACCCGGTAAATCTCCCGACAGCGCATTCATTCTGAAGTTGTACTGTAGTCGCAGGTATATGATCAGCATAATCCGCACACCTACGTTCTCTCTAACATCCCTCACATTCCGGAGCCATAATAAAGGAAGCACATACCCTGGACATTTTGAAATCCCTCAAGATACCTCTTCCTTTACCTCCCAAGATGCATCTATTCCTAATTTGGGTTGGTCTTGTATAACAATGCATTTGAGTCAATTCCAGTTGTGCTTGGAAACGAACTCGAGGAGGAAGTGAAAGATTGCGGATTATGTAGCGAAGAGCTTGTCTACTCGCACGGAAGTTTGTCTGTCAGCCATTGGAATTGCAATATAGAATTGGATGAGCCAAATAGTAATGTGCGAGATGTGGTACAGTGGATAATATAATGAACTGAAACTCAAAGGAGGACGGGACTTGAACAAGCTAGAATTGGGAGGAAAGAAAACATACCTTTCAGTCTCATGCTCAGCGAACACTTGTCGCTTGGTATGGTCACGAATGACTTTGATGTTTATAAAACAACCTAGATCAAGCTTTTTGGCTCGAAACATAGACATCTTGAGAACTGTGGGAGTTGAACTTAAGGCAATCACTGAAATTGAGGTTGCGGAACAGCATAATTTGGGAGAATTGGAGAATTGTTCGTGCCTTAATTTTGGGGCTTCAAGTTTAGGTAATCCACATATGCTGATGATAGAAATTGCTCATGACATGACTGCTGAACATTGACATTCGAACGCACTTTTGAGTATTGATGATGAATAAATCAGAATTCGATTCGGAGATATCTATATGACAAGTAGATATCACTTATATGTCGCTAGCGATGAGACTGTTACATCAAGACGTCCATCCATTGCAAACATCAGTCTGTGTACAGGCAATTCTCCTTTGCATATAGCTTGGTAGGTATGGTTATTGAAGACTAGTGGTCTCCCTCTTGCCTTGAGTCTAATACAACCATAAGTCTTGGAGCAGAAAAAGGCTAGAGGTCATAACATTTTGTGTCTCGTCTTGGAGATGATAAGTTTGCGGATCGAGTACCTTCATTGTTGAGAACATTGAGCCAGTTCCTGTCGTACACTACCAGTTGCAGCTTTGCCTTATTGTCCTTTCAGATCCTACGGCCCAAGAGTAAAGTGGTGTCATACAAAACTGGTAATCATTCTGGGTCTATAGGAGTACGGATTGTAGTCCAATAAAGAGACTTCAAATACCCAAATCCAATTGGAATATTCATGGTCTAGAATGTAAAGTGCGTTTCCGATATTTTTAAAGATTCGAAGCTTACATCTGGTTTGACCGATTAGATGACTGGGACTGCCGAAACCCAATCTACCTTCCCGTAGCTCCTTCCAGTTGTGTATACAAAAGGTGCAATTTTCTACTGCATCGCAAAACTACCACATACAAGACTTCGATCTTCAGTCCTCGATATCCAATCATCAAATCATACTTAGCTGTCATCATTAGATTCTAGCTTATTTCTGCGACATCAGAACACTTGCAGCTCTGCAGTATCTTCTATCAAAAGTCATAACATTGCCTTCCTGTGCCGCCTTTCGACCGACCCTCAACCACGTCAGTCCAGAGCCCGGGAATTCTTGTTCCCAGAGCCCAATCAGATGTTCTCCTTCTTTTTGCGGGGAACGTCGGGTAAGAAAGATGGGCGCCATTACTGCAAAACTTGTGATATACAGTGCAAGAAACAACACCATTTGGAGCAGCACAATATGGGGAAACAACATTTAGCCAAAGTGAAGGCTGCCGAGCTGCTTAAGCCTACTGTAAAGACGGCAGAGTCAGTGACATGCTCCTCTCACTGTTCCAACCTCACAGTCTAATAAACTTGATCAGGCAGCCAGGGCCGAGAATGACCGTGATAGTCCTTGGAAAAGCCAGGAAAAGATATCAAATATCGCACGACGTGCTATACGATGCTTCTCCATATTTTCGGGAACTTTGCGACAATAGCGCCGAGTCAGTCCAGGATTTCAGCTTCCGAGTGGAGGAGGAATGTGAACAATTTGGGATCTTCATCTATTGCCTTGAAAATCAGGATTTGAATATTCCCACTCCCATAGGGGTGGTGCCAGCATTGCTAGAGCTATATTTCGTCGCAGCCAAATACCAAGTCAGCTTCTTGCAGGATAGGATCATGGACCACCTACTAATTATGAAGCGCTGTCTACAAGAATGGAACATCAAACGATTGTACGAGAATACGAATACTACCTCGAAGCTACGTTGGCTTTGTGCTTGTGATACCACTTGTCTTCTTCGTTCCTCTGCGAAAGAGATACCTGCTTCACAAGATTCAATTGAGTATAAGTTACTGAGCGCAGCAAAAGAATGTCCAGAGTTTGCATTTGATGTTTTCCGAGTTCAGCTGATATACAATACCTGCAATTGGCCCGGAACATACATGCATGATTTTCATGCTTGCGAATTTCATTGCCATGAGACTAACAAGCTATGCCTCCACATTAATTTTGACGGATCACCCAGACTTCCTGGTAGTTTTGTCAATGCACGAAATTTTGATGGAGCTTCAAGAGATAGCTCAAATGGAAGGGTCTTGGGGAAAAGACAACGCGATCGAAATGGCGCTGAGGGTAGCATCGACAGATTAGTTAGAAGAAAGGTCGAAGCGGTCATTGTGAAAGACGAGCCCAACGTATCGCAGGAAGATGGTACATAGAGTCAGCTCTTCAATGGTAGATGCAAAGTCTAAGTCGCCTACATCAGTAACAAAATGATGAAAACAATTGTATTTGAAGTAATATCATTTCAGCAGAATGTGAGCTTTATCAAAAGAGGGTAGTGGCTTTGCATTGGATATATAAGGACGATTTGATTAGCTTACCTATACTATAGAAGAATGCAGAAGAAGAGAGGAGAGGCTGTGAGTATCTCAATGATGAGGAAAGGATGAGAGGAGCCAGAGCTAGATGACCAAAAATGAAACCATTGCATACAATACCCTGTACAACGGACCTACACAACGTTCACATACTCATAACCCATCACCTCGAGATTAATTCAGATTTTCATCCGACAATCCCACGCTTTCAAATCCCAAAACTTCTTAATCAACGATCAGATCAACGACCTAAAGCTCCAATATCCGATCATGCAATCTCAACCCTGAATAATAGAATACATACACAAATCCTATCACCAACATACTCGAAGAAAACTATCCGTCTCAGGATACACACTCCAATCCGGATAATCAATCGTTTTTATCGCGAACTATGTTGTAGAATTATATGTTCTGTATTATATATATCCCTGAGTATCGAATCAATATGAGAGAGATAGTATAAAGTCTTGATTATTGTATAGTTATTAGATAATATAAACAATTATATATTAAATCATGTATGTGAGCATGATATTATCAAAAATTTATAATTTATATCTCCTCACTCTATTTATTCTTTTTCACTAAACAGATGGAGCAGATAAATATTAGATAGGTAGGTAGGTAGTTACCTTCTGGAAACTTGAACTGGTGAAGTTTAGATTTATTTCTCTATTCATCTCTTCAAAGACATGGATATATATGAAAGCCAAACCAAACCCTCTTATCTATAAATTATCTCTCTTCGATTCTATTAATTAACATCCATCTCGTATATCGTGTGTCCTAATACTACATGGAAATTCAAAACCACATCGCTAAACAACAACAACATCTAATCTAAACCAAATCATCATCAACACCACCACCACACGGCCACCAAAAAATTAGAGTGGTAGAGATCTAAATAAGTGATTGATTGATGTTGATAGTATACAATATCCCTCTACCAATATAGCAAAACTAGCTAGGTATCTTTCTAAACCCCCAAAACAAATATCAAATAGAGTAAAGTAAAACAAAAGAAAACAAACCCCATTTCTAAATACACAATAAATGCAATCAATCAAGCCCGAAATAACAAACCCATCCATCCATTCATTCCCTCCTCTCTCCTCCCTCCACGAAAGCAGCGTTCCCTACCTATCCTCTCTTCCCAAACACCCCGCAAAAAAAAAAAACCTCCCTTTTACCTACCACCCAAAATCAAAAATACCCCTTCCCTCCCCCCCATTCTACCAACAAACCCAACCAAAAAAATCCCAAAAAGAATCTGGAGCGGCAGGGAGTCGAACCCTGGACTTCATCGAACTTTCAATTATCAAGATCTGCTGGGAGATTTGATATTGCAAACGAGGCACTCTACCACTGAGTTACAGCCCCTGATTGGTGGTTTGTTATGTGTAATGGTGCTATATTTAGGTATATATTCTTGCTCAGTGCACGGACCACATACGGCGTCGCTAGCCGGCAGTCTAGGGGATAGATTGCTGATAGAGTGGGTTTCGCTGGGGTTTGGGTGTGGTGTCTCAGGGTGTACGAGTGAGTGGGAATGGTGGGGTGGGAGATGGGAAATTGTGTAGTTTGGGATTTCGATTCTTGGGGGAGAGATCTTGGGAAATGTATTTTATTTATTAGCCCAAGTACTAGGTAGCTCGATGATAGGAATACGATACTCATCCAGATCTTTGATTGCAATTAGAATGTATGCTGATTAGGGGGTTTGATCATATATTTTGATTACTTGCTGGGTATCTGGTGTATGTATATTTTGATTCTCGGATTTTGAGATATATCTAAGTGAAGAGACGAGAAGAAGAGATGAAATAAAATCAAAAACAAACTGATACTAAATATTGATTTTGCATATCGCGCGATGCATGCTTAGGTAGGTAATCTTCTCATATAAATCCACCAATTCAATCCTTTCTATTCGAAATATAGATAAATGCATGTACCAGACTGACTATTGATTGCAGAAAAATCAACAGCAGCAAAAGACGCAGTGAATAGAATTTCCATAAAGCCCCTCTTGAGTAAAACTTGCCATGCTAAACTACCTAGATATGCCAACCAGCAAAACAAACCGATCAATCACCAAGCAAAAAATCAAGCCCGCGGAGCAGTTTTACTCATATAAGTATCATGCTTCGCAGTCCTATGGGTCAACTGTCCACACCTTTCACAAATATGTGATAATTGACATTTCGTTCTCTTCCTAATACACGTACCCCGTTGCCACATTTGACACGAGGCAAATCCTAATTCGATTGCAGAATCTTGTTGTTCTACCTCTTCAATAGAATGCTATTGGCGACGAGACGAGGAGTGAGAAGCTTCAGGCCAGTTTTCTGAGATGTGAGGAGAATTTGCCTGTGAGTGACGATGATCAAGACGTCCTTCTCGACTGAAGTGACTGGATTCTCCTACTGTGCGATCAGGACGTTGTTTATCACTCTTGGGAAAAGCATCGTCGTGCTCGTGATAAATGCTTCGATGACCTCCGTTACATATAGAGCAGATATGTCGTAGAGTACAATTTGTAACTCTGACTGCGCAGCGACCAGCGTTCCAGTCTCGGCAGGTTTCAATGGAAGGATCTTTATTCAAAGCTCGAAAGTTTGGCTGGTATTGATGATGATGGAGAGAAGAATGTTGAAGATCGCATTTCAGACACAAGTGTTGGAGTCC